CAAGTACCTTATTTGGGGTTATAAGTATAGTTACCCTACTTATAACCCTATAGTTACTAATTCCCATGATCCTTCAAGTAGCAGGGTACAGGCTTAACTTTATGAGAAGGCGTATCTCAGATCCTTAAAACCGGAACCCACTGTTAATTGCACGAACTATATTCTATACTATATGAGGCCCCGTGAAACAACATTAGCACACATATCGGCGTTGACAATTAGACAACGGTCTTCGGGGGGCGGTACCATGGTGATGATAACAAACACTGAGCAGCAGCATAACCAACTTATGATTTAGGCGGTTGTGTTACTGTTTAAGCTCTGAATCATCGGCCACCCCGCTGTACTTACGCATTTGTAGTACAAAACTCATAAGCTGAAACCATCAGTTCTCATGCCCCATATAGATTCCTAGATGTGGGGCAAAAAACCCTGACAGTTTAGAAGCCTAGAGACTCCAATATCCCTTGATTAAGGAATAATCCTTAAACCATAACCCGATCCCTGATGTGATTTCAGGCATATTCCTTAAAAAAGGGATATAGGAATATACCTTAAATTACCCTATGCTTCCAAGGACCTTATAATCAGGGCCCTAGACCCCTTAAGGACCCAATAACAAGGTCCCTGGAAGCCTAGGGTTATAATAGAATCACTAACATGAATAACAGTGTATATTCTCTCTTCTCCAATAACCAGGCCCAAACAAAGTTCAAACTTTTTAAGCTAGACCAAATATATGAAGCCAAAAAGTTTAAAGTTCTCCAATAGGCTAAGTAAGTATTCCTGACTTAAAGGATCTTGGAGTCTCTGGGAGCCTGGCCTGACCCAGGCGACTCCCGTCATGGTGCTCCAGTCCGGATCGCGACCTGGCTTTGCTGTGTCGGATGTACACCACATGAGCCCTACCTGGACCCCAGAAGTATGTAGAATAATAGCCTTTAAGCATTATTTTACATACTTTGGGGGGTCTAGGTATACTATAAGCCCGAAGCCCTCAACCCTGAAGCCTTAACCCTTAAACCCTAAAAAAACAAAACCCTACAAGCCCTAGACCTTCCATCCCTCAGCCGTTGTTTGAAAAGCCTTAAACCCGAATGTTTGAAGCCCCAGAGACATGTAATGACAAGCTAGAAGCTGCCTTTCAGTTAAAGCTGGGTTCCGAAGAGCTAAGGATGAACAAGCTTTTATAGGGGTTTAGAGTTTAGGGTTTGGGGCTTTTAGGTCTAATGCTACCTGGTTGAACGCATTTTGGGGTTTAGGTCTGAAAGATTAGGACCCATAGGGTGGACCCTGAAACCGGAGGCCCAAAAACTTCTACCGTCTGAAGTAGCCACCCCAAGTGTTGCAACATGAAGCTGCTCTGCAGTCTGTAAAACAATGCTGCAGATTTAGAGTTCAGGCTTATGTCAGGCCCCTAAAAATTCCTCCTTCCGGAGCCGATCCCTTTCGAGGGTCCCGGCTGTAGTAATCTCTCATGTTGACGAGGCAAGCCCATTCAGGCAACTTCCTGAAAAGCTTTCCAGCAAAGCCCTAAGCCCCAAACCCGAAACCCTAAACCACAAACCCTAAACCACCTGCACCCTAAACCCTAAACCCAAGCGCGTAAAATCACGGGCCTGGATCGTTTGGGAAGATGTGATGCCACCTCACACTGGATTAACATACGTAAGAGAGTCCCTCTTCATGGTTCCAGGTTCAGGGTTAATGGTCTCGGGTTTAGGATAATATCTCTAACAGACCTGATCCTAGTAACCAAGGCGCTGTGCTACATCATGTCTGAGTGTAATGTTAATGGGAGGTCAAAAGGGGGGTTTAAGATTCTTGCGGCACGGTGGCTGGAACAGTAAGGATGACGTGGCGAAGCAGTAGAGGCAATACTGAGGCAAGCGATGGGGAGGACAGTTCTTGCAGCAATGGGGTTGCAGCGGCCAAACAGAGAAGTAACCCAAGGAGCGGCACTGTGAGAAAACCACTTGCGCAACCAGGGTCGCACAGAGCCAAAAGTGAGAGAGCCACAATCGAGGAAAACGCATAACAAGGACAATTTTGATGCACTGGGTAGGCGGGGCATGGTGCTATGTAGAAGGCAACCCCGTCCAGGCCAAAAGAGTAGAAAGAGCCTGAGGCTATGCACATTTCTGCACCACACCAAGCAAGAGCAACAACTTGTACAGTAGAAGCCAGAAAGTTGGAACATTGATATCCCCATGCCCTTAATTAGGGCAAAGTATAGGGGATCCCAGCACCATTCATCCTGAATCCATGTTCCAACTTTCTGGGGTTCACTGTGAGACCCCGGGTCCATGTTTAAGCAGCTCCTCCGGTTGGGGCAGGAATGGGGTTCACATTGAACGACAAAACCCTGAACCTCCCTGAACCCCCTTGAACCCCGAACCCCAACAACCCCAACCTTTGAACTTTGCCGGCCCCTCTCCTTCCCTCCAAGAAAACTAGCCCTGGCTTGCCTACTTAAAGGATCATGGGACTTAGTAAGTAAGGTTATAAGTCCCTTAATTGGGGTTACAAGTAGTTATAAGTATAGTTGCCTAACTATACATAACCCCAGTTACTAAGTCCCATGATCCTCCAAGTAGGACTTTCAAAGCCAGCCAACCCGCAGGACCCAGTCCCTGCCGCCAAATGACACCCCCCAAGTCTTGCGAGGTGCAAAAACTAGAAATCATTCCTATTGTTGTTCTAAGCAGAAGACCTGAAACATCCGATGCACATGTTGAAACCCAAGACCAAAACCCGGCACAGGGACCCTCATACCAATGCCATTCCAGAAAGGCGGTCAATCGATGAAGGGGACTGTTGGGCCAAACACCTGAACACAAACGCGCTGGGAAGTAGAGTTCAACGAGGCTCCAAAACCCTGAACCCTAAACTCCTGAACCCTGAACTCCTGAACCCTAAACTCCTGAACCCTAAACTCCTGAACCCTAAACCCTAAACTCCTAAACACTAAACTCCTGAACCCTGAAACCCTCTACCAAGCTTCCGGCCAATGCTTGCTCAGGCCTTAGCTGCCCACTCCACACACTTCGGGCCGAGGGTGTTCTCGCATTTTGGGTCCATCGAGCTCTGAGTTCAGGGTTTAGGGTTTTAGGGTTAGGGGTTAGGATGTAGGCGTTTATGGTTTAGGGGTTTAGGTTTTTAGGGGTAGGGATTAAGATTTAGGAGTTTAGGGGTTTAGGGGCTTAGGGTTTAAGATTTACGGTGTAGGGCTGCAGCAAACGGCAGCGGCAGGAGGTTGGAGGGATTTGATTCCGAAACCACAGGCCCAGAAGGTGCGCAAATGCTTAAATCAACCCTTCGACCCCAGACCCTTTCGGGGCTTCGGATTTACGGCTTAACTCTGCGTGAAAGGTTTGGGCTACAGGGTTTATAGGGCTTACCCAACCCCCCCAAAGTATGCAAAACAAGGGCCAAAGGCCTACAAAAGGCTGTTATTCTAAATGCCTTGGGGGTCCCGGTAGGGTTGAAACACGTGCGTCCTCAGCGGGGACGGAGAAGCTCCCAGAAAGACAAAATGTCAAAGCTTGAATCTGATTTCGCTCCATGATGGTGATCAGGACGTGGCCTGCAGCCTGGTGGAGGACCCTAAACCCTAGACCCTAAACCCTAATTTCCAGCATCCCGGCTCGCAAAGCAGCCTCCATGTCCCGCCAGCCACAGAGAACCTCCTTCAACAAAGCGAGGCCCGAGACATCCCGAGACAATATCAATGTCGGCCGGCGGCCGCCGGTCAGCGTCTCGTGGTACTATGTCCTGGGCCCTGTGGCCCCAGTCGTAGAGTCCTGTGACCGCCTCTTCAGCGACTCCATACTTTCTTCCGCAGAAACGCAGAAACTTTCTGTCCGGCCGCTGAGAAGCGCGACATTCACGTGCATAGATCCTATATGTGATCCCGGTTCTCGGTTCGCTGCCTCAACCCTCAAAGAGCCCTTGCTCACATGCCGAATCCCTGTGACTGTGCAGACTTCCCCCACATGGCGACGCCTGACCAACCCCACGAGTAGAAGTTTATGTTGGTATTATGATGTGCATCATTTGCAGACGAAACACATTTCTTAGCCAGCTAGGGGGCGGGGGGGGGGGGGGGGGACAGGCTATGCTTAATATGAGGATGCGTGTTGGGATGGCTTGGTGTATTAGGAGACGGGCTATCTGCAATTATTCGATGCGATAATTAGTATGCAATGTGTCTCAAGTGACTAGACAATAGCGAGTGACAAGTGACTATAGCTGACTTAGTCGACCCATAAGCGAGGAGGGATTAGAGGCAAGACTTAATATGGCTATTTGTGTCTGGATGGCTAGGTGTAGCAGGGAATGGGTCATATGCAATACTTAGTGACTTAGTACGAAACTCTTTTCAGTGAGTAGCCAGCGACTATATCATGACGACTGACTAGTGACTGGTGACTCGCAGGATTGCCGGACATACTTCAGAGTATTTGCGTTTGGATGGCTTGGCCTAGTGGCCTAGTCGCCTAGTGGCCTCGTGAGAAGCGGATTCTATGCAATGCTCAGTACGACTACGTGGGTCTTGCATGAGTCTAAAAACGACTTTGCTGCACCATAACAGCTGACGAGTGACTAGTTTCTTAGTCATGGATTGGAGGCAATACCCAGTATAGTTGTTTGTGTTTGCATGGCTCCGTGGAGTAACGAAACAGACTTAATGCAATAATTAGTACGACTATTTGAGTCTCGAGTGCACCGGGGTTTTAGGATTGGAGATCAGGCTTTTTGGGTTCAGGGTGAAAACGGGAACCATGATTCTATAGACCAGAGCCGCCCAAACGGAGCCTGAAATACGGCCTGCATCCCGAAGACTCTCTTCTTCAACAGAAGGGCCCAAAAAAGTTTAGGGTTTAGGGTTTAGGGAAAAAAGAGCTAATATACAAGGCCAAAACTTTAAAGTTCCCCCGTTCACAAAGAAGAAGAAGACCTACATCTCTGCGCTCTCCAACTTTCCTCACTATGAACCCGGTAGTATTGCTTAGAAAGAGTCCTTGGGATCATATAGTCCTTGAGCAATTCCCATTCATAGTTCGAAAGGGTTGCTTATAGAAATATCCTACGAATCCATTTCTATTCCCCAAAACCCCACTCTGGGCATAATTACGTATTGAGGTCTCGATCATGTGACTATAATAGCATTCTCTATGGCAAACGTCAGAGAACCCTTCAAAGAACCCCGCTCTAGCATTGAAGTCCCTGGTTGCACCCTCTTCCCAACCAAGACAAGGTTCCCATACCCTTGAGCTCGTGGGCACCGCAGTAGTACTCCAGCCTTGCTTGCAAGGCTTGAGGCTTAGGGCTTCGGCTTAGACGGTTTAGACTTCAGTATTTTGAACATGTAAAAAGGTGTAGGGCTTGGAGTTAATAAATGGAGATGCGAACCCGCAACAGCCTAACGAACACTTCCTCGCCAGAGGGTTGTCCCACTGCTGCGTTCCGAACTTTGGATAGCCCAAAACACTGCAAAGGAATGACGGCCTCCCTGGTGGCTCTGCTGCTCGCAGCAGGCTGACCAAGCGCGTCGTCAGGCTCGTGGCCTCAGAGCCCTAGCGTGCCCTCCGAGCAATGCGGAACGCCATCGTTGGAGGTTCTGCCAGTAACCCCGCCGTGCTCTCCGCCTCCGCGTGGCATTTTGGGCAAGTGCCGTGCCATTTGTAAAGCCTCGTTTCCTCACTAGAAGAGTTTGCTCTCCTAAGCTGCTTATGCCGAAGCACTTTCTGCCTGTAAGTGTCTATTATCGCAGGGTCGGTGACCTAGCTGCCGCGACCCGAACATGAAGTCTATTGCCCGGTTTGGGGATTACCGACTTCCTGACTAGGGCTTTATAAAAACCACACTTTCACGACAAGAACGCCGTGATCACTAATTGCGTCATTGAACTACTATAGCTACTGATAAACCGCATCCTAAGATCCCAGCGACCGCTGACAGTAGGTTACTGTTCCTTCAACTTTGTTTTAAACTCATAGACCCCTCAATACCCCTTTGATGGAGCCTTCATGGTAGTTGGGAGAGAGAGAGAGAGAGAGAGAGAGAGAGAGAGAGAGAGACAGAGAGAGAGAGAGAGAGAAAGAGAGGGAGAGAGAGACAGAGAGACAGAGAGAAAGAGAGAGAGGGTGAGAGTGAGAGCGATTCTAGGGGATAATATTACACATCATCCCGACCCTTTTCGCATATCAATTTCTAGGATGACTTACAATTACACGTGCCTTGGGCCTAAATCTTGAGCCCAAACACTAAGCCTGATAAACCTCAGAACAATAACTCCGTAAACTGCCCTATGCACACAGTAAACCCTATAAAGCCTTAAACCTAAAGTCAGAAACTGTGAAACCCTCAACCCTGAAGCTGTGAACCTTGCCAACGCCGGAACCTGAAAGCCCAATTCCTTCAAACCCTGAACTACAAAACCCCGAAACCTAAACCCTAAACCCCTAAACCCGTGAAACCCTAACCCTAAATCCCTTCAAAAACCCTTCGGCCCTAACTTTGAGGGTAGCCAAGCGACGCCCGGTGCGACAGCATGCCGTAGAGACGGCGCAAGACCTCCCGCCGAAACTCTATCCGGCGGTTTAGGGTTCCTTAAGGGATTTAGGGTTTGAGGATTTAGGGGTTTAGGGTTCCTTAAAGGATTTAGGGTTTGAGGATTTAGGGGTTTTGGGTTCCTGAAGGGATTTAGGGTTTAGGGATTTAGGGGTTTAGGGTTCCTTAAGGGATTTAGGGTTTAGGGATTTAGGGGTTTAGGGTTCCTTAAGGAGTTTAGAGTTTAGGGATTTAGGGGTTTACGGTTCCTTAAGGGATGAGGGTTTAGGGATTTAGGGGTTTAGGGGTTTCGGGGGTTTAGGGTTTAGGGATTTAGGGTTTACGGATTGAGGGGTTTCGGGGTTTCAGGGGTTTAGGGACTCCGCGGTAGTGGTCCCGGGCATATACTTTGCGGTATCACTTTCCAGCGACACGGTGAATTGCAGTACTTTTTAGTCTTCGCATCGAGGTTCTAGGGACAAGGTGAACTACGCCACCGTAGACTTGGGCAGCGTCGTCTCCAAAACGCGAATCACCATTCTATGGAAGGTATCCTGAAGCAAGGCACTGCAATCTTCGGTGTAGGTAGCTCACAGTGTACCTTAACCTACCCAAACCTTCTTCTTTATAGGGCCCGGATATTCCAAGTAGGCCGTGTAGTAAGAGCCTACAGAAAGGTGGCTTCGATCGTTTAAAGTGAACACAACAGACTCCACCTGCAAAAAAACAGCATGAAGACGGTGTGGGCTAACCATTTAGGCTTCAGGGACGATCTAGATTGAGTTTTCACGTCAGGTATGTTTGTCTTCAGAAGAAGCTAAGACAAAGTGGGTGTAGCCACCGCACCGAACACCCTGAGCTTACAAAGGCTCCTGCCTTCTGCATCCAGAGGCTGTGTCTGAAGTCACCTATGATTGGCTTGCTTGGTGCTTCTCCCAGAAGGTAGATTGGAACTAGGCCCCAAAGGCCACAAAGAGCTGCTCTTTGATCGTAGCATATGGACCCCACGGATTTGTTCCCTCAGTTACAACGCAACACAGAAGACTTACAGGTGCTGCCGAGCGAACCCCTGCGAGCTACTGCGGTAACGCGAAAGTGAGCATGTGCAGGGCATGTGCTCATTTAAGTTATTCAAAACAGATATCATCTAGTCAGGGATCTACACAAACAAGTGTCCGCAGGTGTTCGCCACAGGCTCTGGGCAGTCTTCGGCGGTACATAATTACAAACTTGCTATCTTTGCATCGTCTAAAGTCATGAAGTTCCTGTACTGGCTTGCAGCTAGGTCACCATGCATGGATGCATGCAGTCCTGCATCCAAATGTCGCCACCAGAACCTGAGATTCGAGCACATGCTTCAACCCGAGGAATGCAAAACAGCCCAAATGCCACAGCCTCAACATTTACGCTGAAAGGTCCTATCGTTCTACCCCTGTCTGCACAGCAAATTAAGCGGACGATGCTTCTGAGGCATTTCGGCCCTGACAGCATTCTTGAGGTGGGATGAAGTCAGCAAAACCGAAGGATTCTGCACATACGGCTCTTAAACTGGGCATCCTCCCACCACTTCATCTCACCCTTGGAGCCCTGTGACATACCTGCCTGTTTGGCTCGATGTCTTCTCAGCACTTTTAGAATCTGACGAACGGTCCTGGGTAAGTTCTAAACCCTAAACCCCGGCTGCACTTCCTGATGGTCCGACGGACGTTAAACAACGAAAAGCTTTCGTAGTGACCCAACGACTTTCCACTGTTTGTGCACAACCTTGTGGCTGAGGCTGGGTGGGCTTCGGTGTTGGAGTCGAGGATGTCGGGTTTTAGGGTTTGGGAATAAGGTCAGGTCTAGGGTTTAAAGGCCGGTAGACTTTTTGGGGTTTTAGGGCATAGACTCATAGACAATGATTTCCAGAGCTTGCTCATATCGCATTCGTTGCTATAGCTGAAATCCACGTTGTGGCTTAGTACGGGGGTCATGCCTATTGTCCCCCGATCATTCTACTAGACCCCAACATGTCAAAACCCTAATGTAGGATTAAGAAACCCTGGGTCTTTATTCGGGCTCTTAATATGGAGCCTAGTACTTCAAGCTTATTGAGCCAGGGTTGCTTAGTCAGGTTCCTACATAATCCTAGCTAGTAATGCACCTACGTCATAAGGATTCTTCAGGGGGTAGAGGGTAGGGGGCCTTAATACCCATAAAACAGACTTAGTAAGGCCTCTTAAGGAAGTATGGGGTCCCAAAAACTATATTACAGTCAGGCTCAGGAGCCAGGCAAGAGCCACGTCCAAACGCCACCATCCGCAAGCATAGCAAAGCCTTTCATCACAGAGGGCTTCGCTGCAGGGTTTATCTATAGCACCCATTGTAGTTCCTTTTTTGGCTAACCAGATCCTATATTGTAGGATCCTAACCAGAAAACTGGTTAACCAAGAAAGGAACTACGGTGGAGACTACGGGTATCATGTAGCATCTAGGGTTTGAGCTTCCGCATGCTGCTTCAGCTTTAGCTAGGGGATCGAGGCGATTGTGGGGTCATGGGTTATTATTACCTGTACCCCAAAAGTAATAGAATAATAGCCTTGTATGGTTTTGGGCCATTATTTTATATACATATTTTTGTGGGTCTAGGTATATGGCCTTGAGCTAACGAGCTTCGTGCGAATACCGACAGCCCTACACCCGACCCTAAACTCTAAAACCCTGGACACTCCAAAAGCAAAAGAACAAAATCCTCAAACTTCCCAGGTGCATACAAGCATGATTTCCTCCCGTGATCCCGGACAGCTATTGAACGAGCTAGCAGTCCGTGAAAAGTGTGTAAATATTGAAGCACGCAAGATGTGCGTCCTACCTTTAAATTAAAGGGCTGTATAGACATAAAGGCTACTATATGAGGGCTACTAAGTTATTAAACAGGGTTGCCCAAGAATTCTGAAATTTGTTAGGCGTTTCTGCATGATCAAAAATTGGTGGGGCCTTTGGGCGATTTTGAGCCTGAGGGCATAGTTAAACCTTCGACTCCGAGACAATGCCCCATTAGGCGCAGATCTACTTAACTGCAAGGGTTGAGGATTCAGGGGTCAGTTGGTTTCTGAAAGAAATGAGAGGCCCCGAACCGTCGCCCCTAAATCAAACGACCCATATCCCTCAATCTCCGAACCTGAAAACAGAAACGGCTCAGGGTTTAGGGTTTACCTTAACTTATAAACCAAATTAACTGCAGATGAAGCTGCAACTCTTCAAACGCTTCGGCTCTACATCTTGAGGCTCTGAACTCAAGCTAAAAAGGGGTCGAAGTGCAACTACACTGTAATGCCAACCCCTAGCACCATAACGTTGCCGAAATAAGCTCTAAACCGCTGAAGCCGAACAGCCAGAAGGCCAAAGATCAAATCCAGAATCCTCCCTGAGGTCCATGTACCCGTATACTCAGGTCCTGAAGTACCTACAGGCCTATGCAGGAACCCTGAAGACCCAATACCGTCTGGTGCTCACTAGGGAACGGTGGAATGGATCCTCATAGCAGCCCCTATACAATCCCCAATAGTAGTCCCCATAACCCATTCCCCCATTCCCTACTAAGAACCAGACAGAATACTGTACACAGGCACATGGATCCTGCGGGCCTTAAGCACTCAGCCCCAAAGATCATTTTCCTGAAGCCCTGTAGCCTGAACCCACCCCAAAACCATGCAACCACAGGGACCGAGCACCTCTGCTATATACGGCCTCAATAATTACCTACACCATGTTGGTGGCTCCTGACTAGATCTATGGTATAACGGCCCCCAAAACCCCATTCTAATTATGGCCCCTATATTATAGAACCCAACTTTTGATCCCCTATATAGAGCCAAATTATGAAGGTCCCTATAGTAGCAAGAGGCAGTTCATGGGCCAAGCAGCCAGGCCCAAAGGAGGAAGGCGAACAGCATCAGGAAGGCCAGTCCTGCTGGAGTTCTATGCGGTTTTTGGGCTTAAAGTAAGGCTCTGAATCTACCCAGACCCCCTAACTACCCTCTGGTATACCCTGAATACCCACTATTAAGGACCATAATTTGCGGCTTTTGGGCTTTAAAGTAGGGCTCTGAATCTACCCAGAGACCCCAACTACCCTCTAATATACCCTGAATAGCCGCCATAAAGGACCATGGCCAGAAGTAACCAAAAGCTCTTGACGATTTGCTGCACGGCAGCTGCACAGTCGTAGTCCTACTATCTACATATTCGACATAATCATGAGAACGGAACTGGGGTTCGACGCTCTGCAGGGGCATGGAGACCTGGAAGAGCAACAAAAAGAGAACACTCCCGGACTCCCTTCGACTCAACTTGTCGTCTACGAAATACATCCTATAGCCCCCAAGATCCAAAACCCAGGGTGTAGGGGTTTAGGGTTTGGGGATTTAGGGTTTAGGGCTAGCCAAGAACAGAACAAGACGGGTAACTGCGGATCAAGGTTGAAAACAGCTCACAATAAAAGCCCCAAACTAGACCCTAAACCCTGAGTCCCTAGACTAGACCTTTGAACCCTAAACCCTGAACTAAACCCTAGACCCGTTTTTGCAGGATCCGAGCCACAACGTCATGCATCTGCGAGTCACCCCCTCCTGGCCTTCCGCAAGGGGCTGTTTGGCCCGGAGGTCTATCTGCGCGCTGCACCTCGGTGTGCTTCTGGGCTGGCAGGCCCAAGCCCAGTCTCTAGGGATTCAACACTGACACTACCAAGTATCCTATAATCTACACCCAAACAGGCAGAGTTTAGCGCTTGCAGGGTGCAAAGGTCCAGAATCTTCAGAAATGGGGAGTGGCTTTATCTCTATGTTTCAAGTATATAAGGGACCATTCAAAGGCTTCTCCAAGCTGCAAAACTAGAATCCCCCCAATCCAGATCATCCAGGCCACAAGCGCTCCCAAATGAGTTTCTGCAAGGGCCGTGCCCTCCACAGCCTTGTGTGCGAGATGGAATTTGCAAGCTCTTACAGCTTCGTGTTGTTGCTCACCCTAGCTACTTGGAGGATCATGGGACGTAGTAAGTAAGGCTAGAAGTACCTTAATTGGGATTATGAGTCTAGTTACCCTATTTATAACCCTAGTTACTAAGTCGCATGATCCTTTAAGTAGGGAATGGACACAAACACACATTGGCCTAAAAGTAGTCCCTACATAAGTACATTAGTAGCTCGGGCTGTGTGTGACACGGTGGGTCAGCTGTAGCTAAAGCGTTTGGGAGGGGGGGTTCGGCTTTATGGAGGGGTTTTCAGATGTGGGCTTTGAGTTACTAGAGGGGGGCCCTAATAGTTAGAGTAAGGCTTTGGGGCGCATTATACTCCAAAATAGTATTGGTAAATATTTCGGCCCCTATAGCACATGATTAATTATTGCTGGTTTCGGGTTTAATTAGACCGCCTCTGGTATAGGGTTTAGGGTGGCTCGTAAACTGCGCTGTTTCTTTGATCCCACCACAACCCAAAAATCCCGGCGAAGTCTACAGCCCTAAAGCCCTAAGTTTAAGCGCGAAGACTGAACCAAAAAAACAACACCCGAACTCCCCGAAAAGAAGACAACGACAGACCTTAAACCCTAAACCCCAAAACCCTAAACCCTAAACCCTAAAACCCTAAACCCACAACGGTTCTACCCGAGCCACTCTGAGATCTCCATGGGCTCGTGACCTTCCAGGCTGCCAATTCCTCAGCTCGCGAGCTTTCCCCATCCTCGCGGGGCCCCTCTTCCTTGTTGGTCTTTACCCAGGGCCTTAGGGGCTGAGCACCCTAGTCCAAAACAACAGTTAACATTTTCAGTATATAGAGCCCAACAGGTTAAAGGTTACCTACGCAGCCGCTAAGGAGCTTTATAGAGTGAGGGTGTGTTTTAGAGTCAGGGCTCAGGGTTTTTATGGTGGAGGGAATTAGGAAACTGTTGGCCGTTAGGGTTAAGGGGTCCGAGGTTCGTAAAGGGTTGAAGGAGTTGGGGTTTAGGGCTTTAAGGGCTTGACTTGCCCCGGGCCTGAAGTGAGCGCTTCTTGAAGACTTTACACCTGCGCCCCCCGAGTAGGCACCATGCGCATGATGCGAGCTGTAGAGTTATGATTAGGCGTTTTTCGTCCTCTGTCTGGCTAGGATCGCATGCTGGGGCCCGGGACTCCTCGAAAGGGTTCAGCTCCTGGGGTGGAGTGTGTAAGCTTTTAAGGCTTTAGTTTTGATAGGGCATCTAGGGTTGAGTTGAGGGTTGGGGCTTCGTCTATGACGTAAAGTTTATGGCTTCAGGTATTAAGGTCTATAGCGCTTCTAAGTTTTAGGGTTTGGGCTTCTAACTTAGGGAGCTCTGGGCAATGACAACCTCTAAATTCGTGCTGACGCGGCACTGCAGCGACGCAGAACCTCTGCTGCCCTGCTGGAGGGAGCATGATGCGACAGGAACAGGTCCTGTGCAAGGGGCAATCGTGCTTGTAATGTTTAAATTCGAATTAACGGTTTACGGCTGAAAAGCTTTAGGGTTTCTGGGGGCTGAGGCCTTAGGTTTCATGCATAGAGCTGTTGCAAGTCTACGAGATTGATTACAGGGATAAAGTTGTTGAGAGTTTACTCCTCAAGACACCCCAAAAGAACAAAGAAGCCTTACAATTAAGCCACGGATCTGGCATTCCCAGGCCCGGTGCTTCCCAACGAGTCACTCTTATATGTATACAATCTTTTGGAGCACCATCCGGATGATCATCACGCTGTGATTGCATACGATCGTTGCCATCTATGCCCTCAGTGAGGTAGGGCTTCTTATCCTAACAGAAGTACACCCTAAAGATACGCCAACCAGTGTTCGAAGGAGGCCATATTGTATGTGTGTGTGTTATATATATATATATATATATATATATATATATTCTTATATATATCATACATGCCTGCTCTTACCGAAACCAGAAAGAACACCTGACGGTTGTACATGCCCTAAACCGCTTATGAACAACACACGGAAATCAATCTAAAGTCTTGCAAGGGAATCGAAAGACAAAAGCCCATAAACTCTGAACCCAAACAGGACTCCCGGCCCAAAACACTTCCTGATTCACCCTGTATAAGATGCTTGAACACCGTCAAGAAACTTCATATTTTCAATTTGTGAACCACGAACACTCATGAATCTTGAAAACACCTATCAACATACAACGCAGCACGGCTCAGAATAAAACAACACACGAAAGATCAACCCCAAACACAAACCGAGTGTTCCCCAAACCCTAAACCCCTAACCCCTAAACCGGAAGCTCAGAGGTCCGTGGCATCTTCGCCGACGGCGCGGCGAATCAAAGGACCCCCTTTGGGAAAGCTCCGTGGGTTCATAGGGAATTCTTAGTGCTAAGGGTTTCGCGGTTCGGATTTTTGGAGCTTCTTCTTGGGTTTTTGGAGGTAGAAAATTTCGAGTTCAGAGCTGGGAACGGCCTGGCTTCAGTCCCGACACCCTCACCGCTCAGGTGGGCTTCATTTTCGGTTTGGGTGTCTGCGTCTTTAGTCTATGCGTTCTGGTTTGCGGCCATTGAGCCCCAATCTCATGAAGTCCTCTGGGTAGAAAACCCAAAAACTTTGTGGCAGAAATGCAGGAACCGGCTTCTGCAAACCAAGGTGTCGTTCCAGCAATCATGCTTCTTCTACTTAGGGTCCTGATCACGGGTCTCAACAACTCCATTGCAACTTAGCCGATGCCTGGATGATGCGGGATGAAGTCGCCGAGCTCCAGCACCTGTGCAAGAACTCCCTTTAAGCCAGGGATCTACTTCTCCTTTCAGAAATGTACATTGGGATCCTAGACTATTTGCAATAAGCAGCATCCTGGCCAGGCGAAATGTCATGTGAAACTTGCACGCAGGGCTGGTGCATGTGCCAAAAGATGAGCTTCTTCTGCATCAAAAAAGAACGGGTCCTCCATCAGTTCCTGCTGCAAGCAGGTTGGGTTGATGACGATTTCAGAGTTCTGGGCCAGAGCAAGACTAATATTGGGGGTTTCTTATTATGAATATAGTGTAATGGGCCCCAAAACCCTATTCCAATTAATAAGGCCCCTATAGTATTGAGCAAGCTGATCATGGCAAACTGGCATGTTCAGGCGATCGTCTCTCGGCCTGAGCAAGTCCACGCCCAAACGGATCCAGTGGATGGCCTCGTCACCTTTAACAGTAACATCTGAGAACCGCCCCTCCCATAACAAACATTGGCTTGCTTCGCGAGAGATCATCCGACGAAAGCTCGAGTGTCTTGTAGAACCAAGGTTTTGCTTCTGTCAAGAAGCCGGTACGCAAAAGAGCTTCCATGTAGTCCATCAACACAACTCGAGACTGGATTCTCAGTGGTGGCATGTCCGCAAACTGCTCAGCTTTCGGAAGAACGTCGACCAGCATCTGCATTGCCACTGTGAGGTCTCCAGATGCCAATTCACAATAAGCGAGTTGCTCCAAAGCAGGGAACCGAATGTCTGGAGGCACGCTTGAGTGGTTCAAGGCATGCAACGTCTTGAGGGCATCTGTATCCCACGTCTTCCGTTGGCCACTTGCTATTTGTCTCCAAGACTGCAAGTTGATTGCCGCAGCTGCACGAACTCTGGCACGCATGCATATTGATCCAGCTTCATCGCTGGTGCAAGCTATCGCTTCGGTCTCAAAAACTGCCTGCAAGCAGCTCGACGAGCTGAAGCCGATGGAGAGGTGACGGTCCATATCGCAGGCGAATGCTTTTGCCAGTGGCACCTCAGACGCCGAGCACAAGCGACGAGCGATCTCCTTTGCCTTCTGATCCTCATCTTTCTGCCAGTACAGGTTGGCCAAACAAGCGCTGATAACATCGTCATCGAAAGCCTTCCGTAGCAAAAACTCCTCGGCTTTAACTAAATCCCGAATGCTGCTGCGATTCAAGAACGGATTGTCACAGTATGTCGAGCTGGCCTCCGGTGGGGGCAAGAACGGCGGCGAAGGACCTGTGTGCCAACGGAGCAGCACCATCATGAAGAAAACGTTACATGCGGCTACCATGCCCAGCGTGTAAATTGCAGGCACTGCCCAGAAAGATAAGCGTGGTTCAACATCTTGTCCAATTGTGCATCCACTCCAGCGATCAAGATTAGACAGCTCATGCACGTCATTTCCACATCTTCGAAGCTGTACGGCAGCTTGCTCAATCGTAATGCTGAGCTGGGTTCGGATGATGTTTGCAAACTTCACGCCGAGATCATTGTCATCCGGCTGTTGTTCCCCAGCCAGAACTGGGAACAAATAGAAATATTCTCGTCTATCTCGCATGCGTTGCCAGATCCGCAGTCTCCGTCGCAGGACCTCCGTCGCAGATTCACGTTTGGGCATAATCACCACCATGCGCGGGGCCTCAATGGCCAAAGTCACATCAACCCGGCAGCCGTTCAGAAAGCACACAAACAGAGATCCGTTAGGAAGCTGCCGGTACACCTCGTCGACGCACACATCTGCCGAAAAGGTGTCAGAGTCGGGTGACTTTAAGTACGTCTTTCCCTCGTGCTGGTAACAGTGGCCTGCTGCGAAGAGAAGGTTTCTCTGAAACAGCCGGCTGTTGTCAACAAAGCCTTCGATGGCTGCTCGGAGCTGAGCAGATGTCGGATCTTGAACCAGCTGATGTTCCCCCCGGGTCTGCTCTCGGAATGCTTCAAAAACGGCCAGTGCATCCCTGACGCAGAACTTTAAAGGCTTTGCTCCGACGCTGTAGTTGTTGATCCCGATGCACAAGACGTTCCACGCGCTTTGTCGGAACATAGCGCTATGACCTGGAAGTACTACTTCCTCAACTCCTCAAAAAACAAAGATTTCAAGCATAGGCTCGCTGGTGGCTACTCAGGAGTTGGTCCCTGGTGTACTTTGACAGCTTCTGGACCTGGCACTTCGTTTAGCCTCGGTATGCAGCCCTTTGCAGGAGATATCGAAGCTTGAGGACAAAAGCCTTCCGGGATGCATGTAGCAAACATCAGTTCTACACCGTCACGCTGCGGTCAGCAAGGGCTTACGGAGAGCGCGACGCACATTTCATAACTTTGCACCAACCCAGGAAGAAAACAGCTTGCATGATGCCAGCCACGAGCTAGACGCCGAAGGAGGCAACTAGCGGAGCGTTCTGGAGGGACAAGATCCTGCCAGCCTCCAAGGCCATGCCATGGGGTGTGATCCTCAAACGGTGATGGAAGACTAGACAGGAAACAACATGAAGTGAGCAAGAGCAGCCTATGCAGCACACGAGGCGGCTGCTGTAAGAAAGCAAAGAGCACCCAAACTGCATGTATGCCCAAAGCAACTGTGGAGTCTTCATCGCAACAGCCCACTCATGAGACTGAAATCTAGCCAAGCTTCCTACTAGAACAGCCGGGGATCCGACAACGCCCCGTAAAATTCCTGTTTCTTCTTGTTGAACCAGCTCACTCGTGGAACCTCGTAGTAGGTGTTGCTGCCCCAAATTTACCGAGTCAGATTGCTGATGGGGAATCCCTGCACCACCGATACCCAATGTACAGTGTGTCCCATGAGTCATCTAAGCCTTACTGGTGCCCAAAACCAAGTAACAAACAAAATTGCCAGCTGGCTGGCTCACCACGACCAATGAAGCCGCCAGGCAAGAACCGAACTGTGCAGAAACGTGTCTCAAAAAGACCTATTAAGCCATACACCCCTGAGCCCTAAACGCTAAATCCCGTGACCCTACATCCCGAACACTCAAAACACCCCCAAACCCTCAGACCGCCCCCCCACCCCCCTTCACCCGGCCACCCAACATCACCCAACCAAGACCAGCAACTCCGTTCAACGCCTGGCCCGAGATGATCGTCCAGGGGAAAGGTTGGCTGTAGAGTTCCTCGGCATTGTGTAGGGTTTGGGTCTATCTTTGCAGGGTTCTACTTGGGTGCTATCAGAGCCTGATGAGGACAATAAAATGACTACAGGAAGTACGTAGGGCGCTGAAAATTTTTGACGAGACTTAGTTTGGGATCGTTGGAGGGTTCTATACGGGCTCAAGCAGGGTATGATAGGATTTTAGGTTTAGCACCTATGTAGTGCGTGCATGATCAGCATAAGGTTTTGAGATTTATAGCTTATAAGTATGTACGGACAGTGAAGTCATGTTCTGGCTGGCTATTCATCTTCTTTTTGGAAGCTCTGCGTGTAAGCTCAAAAACCGATGTCGGGACCTGAAACTCCACACCTTTGGCACTGACAAGCCATAAACCCTGGACCCACAACCTGATATGGAAGCTTCCGAAAATAGGGGACCCTAAAAGTAGGCCGCTTATTATAAGGACCTCCAAATAAGGTACCCCCCCCCCAAAAAAAAAAATCGGAAACTCCCAGAAACACTTGCCCTGAAGCCCGGAGGCCCTTTAAAGTCCCAGGCGCTGTCTTCGAGAACACGCGCCCGGCATCGGCCATGACGAGGGGTTTTCGGTTGCGTCTAGGGCTTTTGGGGGATTCAAGTCGAGGGTTTAGGGCTTAGAGGAGTTTGGGGGTTTGACGATGGGGGCTGGAAAGCATTGAAGATTCAGGGCGAAATTTTTGTAGGGTTTGCAAGCCAGTAGAACTCCGATTCTTGTAGGAATTTCAGTAGAAGTGCCCTGCTAAGCTTAATGAACCAGGTCCCGGTCGCGTGCGGTATTCAGGGAAAGTATGGTTTCGGGTGGCTCAGAGTTTAGAGACCGGCGGATCCAATTTCAGAGCGCTAAAAACGGTTAGGTTTAGGGTTGAGGTTAGGGTTAGGGTTACGGGTTAGGGTGGCTTGACGGTTTGAGGGTGTTTAGGTTATGTTCACAGAATCCTGATAGTATATAGGCTTCTCCAGGGTTTAAAGGTAAAGGCTCGGGCTTGTCGGCCTTCCCTCCAACACGGGCACACTATGACCGTAGAAACAAGGCAGAATGTAGACTGTGTTGCTCCGCCGCTGTTGTGGCATGTACGAAGGATCCACGGAATCAATAACAGCGTAGCGCGGTGGATCGCTTTAATGGATCGCTTTAATTAACATATCTGTGCAGATCTATCGAAGCTGCAGCGGCAAGGGAACACCACAAGCAACTTCAACGTCTTCTGTCGTGACCGTTCCAAAACAAAACATATTTCCGCAGCCCTCAACCTACTGAACTATTTGTTGTAGGGGCCCCATCAATTATTGGAATGGTGTATGTTTTACTATAGGTTAACCAGGACGTCAAGGGAATATCTGAGCCGATATTCAAATCCCTAGATTCACTGCTCATTGCAGAAGTCCAAGATTTCATTGTTTAAGCTCAGGAGTAAGGTTGCTTTCTTCTTCAACAACCGGGCCCCAAAAAGCTGAAACTTGCTAAGATAGAGCTAATCTATATATATATATATATATATATATACGGCCAAACAGCTTAAAGTTCCCCCGCTTCCTATCTAAGAGGTTGCTTTATAGTTAGCTTAGGGCGAGGCTCTGGGTGCAGGGCTCAGGGTTTGTCTGAAGTTTGTCTAATCCGGGAAGGTTCTAAAACTTGTTCATTTTATGTCCCGAGTAATTAGGGTTTAGGGTTTAGGTTTTGGGGTTTAGGGTTTAGGGTTTAGGTTTTGGGGTTTAGGGTTTAGGGTTTAGGTTTTGGGGTTTAGGGTTTAGGGTTTACTAAGATAGCAGCTGGCAGATACAATAGGCTGAGAAATTCTATCCCAGCGTTGCTGCAACCCTGTTGACATGGAATCTGCCCTGCAACTACTTCAGCGAGCTCGCGTGAGGGCGCACTTTCTGGTAGATCGGTGCACCTCGGATGAGATGGGGGCTCGTGCATGTTGGAATAGGGTTTGCAGTGTGTGGTTGACATCGAATACGTGTCAGCTAGACCTAGTTTTCATTGGGTAGTAGCACCTACAATCATGCCTCATGCCTGAGCAATGAACTCCCATTTATGCCATAACCTGATCAGTTAGAACTGACAGCATTCAAAATCATTCCGGCGTCCTGGGATGCAAGTAGAACAACGACTTCGTCCCCGGCCATCGGCTACCCATAATGCCCCATCATCGTATGCCAACATGCCGGTTGGCCTAAGCAGTTCTTGTCGCTGCTCTTCCGAGTGGTCCTGAGTAAGATACAAGAAGCATGTCCATCGTCTCGGCCGTGAGGCAGCCGACGTGCTGCTAAGGGTGCCTGAAGACCGTTGCGTTGTGGAAGGCTGGGAACAGCCTCGCATGTCACAACCCGCAGTTGCCTTCCTTGCCTTTCGCCCGGCATGCTGTCTTCCTCGGCATTGTGTCACGCACTCCGGGCCCCACCACGACCCGCCTCGTGTGGAGTTCCCCATAGCTTGGCGGATTCAGAAAGCCATGCCAAAATGCCATCTCACGAATCCAAAAGACACGAGCGTCTCACATCTGGTGACTCCAGAGTCTCGCATTTTGGGCCTGGAACCCAGAAGCCCAAAAACGACGACAGTCTCCCTCGATGCTGCGGGTCCTCCTTAACTATCGGTAAAGATCTTTTCAAACGGTTCGGTAAGGCTGGTAAGGACTTACGTTTTGAGGCTTCTTATATACAGGGTTCCACAACGGATGACGTCAAGCCCCAGTTCCAAACCGCACATATGAAGACGACAGCTCTCAACCCTGCACCCTGACAACTAACCCAACATTCCGAAGCACTGTGAGCCTATACTTCCCTTCCCCAGCACTCACACAGGAAGCCCAATCTGACGTAGGCTATCTATCTGGTCCTGACATGGAACCCTTAACATACTTAAAGGATCAGGGGACTTAGTAACTAGGGTTATAATTAGGGTAACTATACTTAAAACTACTTATGACCCCAATTCAGGTACTTATGACCTTACTTACCAAGTCCCATGATCCTGCCAGTAGGGTGCTCCACATCCGCCGGGAACCTTTGGCTCCCAGCCCTGATCCTGGAACCAAAACGCAGACGAATTTTAAGACACCTGAACAGTCACTACTCTCCTCGTGTCTCGGTTATGACGATGACTCTGATGGTGATGATGATGCTGATGATGATTAAGAGGGTGGTGCTGGTCTGGGCTTAGGTAGTAATATAAGCCCAAATGGAATCCTAGAACCTGAGGCCAACCCACTCTAGCCTGGGGAACCCACATGTCCCGAATGGCTCGTTGTGCCCACGGATTCCGGGGCCTTAGATGGCTTTCGTTTCAAAGTCTTTGAGTCTGCGGTTTGTTGCATTCAGGCTGTCTACAGGGCTATTGAGAGTTTGGGGCGCTGAGGTGATTCTTCCAACCAAGGGTATTTAAGGGATTTTGATTAAAGCTTTTCGGCTTGAGGGCTTCGGCGACTCCAACAACTTTAGGGCAAAGAGTTTAGTGGTTCCATACTTTAGTGGTTGAAGGCTTACCAGAGATTTGACTTGAAGATGTTGTGTTCTACAAGTTCTGAAGCTTGCAGGTGCCAAACCCCAAACCCTAAACCATACTACATGCCAGCAGGGCGCTTGGTCGACGCCCCACGGGGCAAGCCCTGAATAAGTTACTGCAGACCTGAATGAACTACTTGGAGGATCATGGGGCTTAGTAAGCAAGGTTATAAGTTATAAGTACCTTAATTGCGGTTATAAGTATAGTTACCCTGATTATAACCCTACTTACTAAGTCTCATGATCCTTTAAGTACATGTTTCGGTCGTTGGAGAATCGGCTTTGCGCTTTGGGATGAAGGGCTTTAGGAATGTATGTTTTGTGGTGTCGGTTTCTAGGACATCCCCCCAAATCCCACGACCCTTCAACCTCTGGCAAACCGTGAACTCTAAACCCACGCCCACAAACCTTACACCTTTCATTGGGATCCCAAGCTTGCAACCTCAAACCCGGCACCCAAATCCCAAAACATGAACCCCACACCCCCGATCCTAAAATCCCAAGAAGCACCTATATAAACACGGAATCCCGAAGCATTCTTTGACCACCGACTCCAAACACGGAGAACACCATAGACAAGCGGGGTTGCTGCCTCAAAAGAAAGAACAGGCTTTAATAGAGAGGGTTCCAAGGGTTTTGGGGTGTGTTCTACCAGGACTAAACAGGGACCCTGAAGGGATACTCTTCCTAATTGTTACGTCGCCTTTCTTGCACAGGCATTACATTTGGTTACCAAGAGGTGGTGTTAAGGGCTTTCTTACGTCCCTAAACCCCAAGCCGAATGAGCCCCACATCTTAGTCGAAAGCACAAGCCCTGTCCCCGAAACCCACACCTTCATCCTGAACACAGAGGAGCAACACAAACACACGACACACCACTGCAAACAAAACCCTCAGCCGTAAACCCAATAATTACCCTAAACCCTAAACCCTAAACCCCTCTAAACTCTGAAAGAGTTAACTTGGCCCTAAACCCTACCTAAACACTAGAACCCTAGAGTTCCTAAAGCCCTAAATCCTAAACCTTCAACCCTGCTTGGGCTCCTGGCTCGAACTTTGGGTCGTAGCTCCAGAATTCGGAAGGCGGACCCACCAACTGGGCAAGAGCTTGAGGGTTTAGAGTAGAGGGTTTAGGTGGAGGGTGTAATTAGGGTTTAGGGTAGCAGGTCTGGGTTTCAGCGCAGTTTCACGCTGTGACTGCCTTTCGAGGGTGGTTCGCACACTGGGGCTTGTAGGAGGCTATGTCTATGTCAGGGCTAGCTGATTTGGGACCCGCTTTAGTAGGGTCCTCCTACTTGATTACGACGGATGCTTGGCTCATCGTCTTTTGAAACGACTCCACCTGCTCGGGCAGTCTGCAGGATTGGTGTGAGTATGGACGGTGAAGCCGCTCAAGACTCGCCCACATCCTCGCTAGTTGGCCTCCGGGAGTTAGCTCATAGGGCAGGCTTAATATTATTAACTGCTCGGCTATGCTAAATTTAGAATATATGATTTTAACAGCCAGTTCTAATTATCAACCAAGGCTGAGTCCAGGGACTCAGACTGTCAGAATCTCAGAATCAGAAAACCTTAAACCTTAAAGCCTAGTCCTTTGAACACTAAACCCTCGCACGACCTCGGCCCTCAACCCATTCGACAGCCCAAACAGTGGATGCAACGGCAGAGAGACACAGAGAGAAAGAGAGAGAGAGAGAGAGAGAGAGAGAACGGATTCACACATTAGGAGGTGCATTGCATTTCAGATCAAAAGCTGCGCCTGGTTCGATCTGGGTGCTGCGGATTTCTGGCATCATGTGCCTCCCACAAGATTTTTTGAGCACCTCTTGAAGTGCTTCTTGCTCGGTAAGCATCCGCAGAGCGCCTTCCCATGTAGAAGACATGCTCTTCATAAGCTAGGAGCAAGTGCAATCCGGCGGCAAGCAGCAAGGATGAAATTCTGTAGAGCAACGACTGAAGTTTGGCTCGGAGCGCATCGTTCTCATGAGCCAGCCATCTACTTTGCTCCAAAACCACTCGGTGGTGCGACGGTGGCTTCCACCTGCGGCCTCTCGTGCTTTCTCGCATCTTGGCTTTATGAACGCGTTCTGAGTAAAGGTACATGTCTCTGAAGCCTTCAGGAGTGTGCGGCGTCCGTGCACCTGAAACCCTCACCCCTGAGGAACCCTAAACCGTGAACCTCTATCTTCGAGTCGGGTACTGCCCGTCAAAATGCTGTACCTGCGTTCTAGGGTGCAGGGGGTTAACTCCACAAAAAGATAGCAGTGCTAGAAGGGCTCCTGCCAGTTTTCTTTCCATGGTTCGTTCTGAGAGTTATCGAAGCCGGGCGGTCCGAACAATTAGAACGGTGTTTGAGGGTTTAGGGTTTACCTTAACCCCGAAGAACCTACATTAAAAGGACTTATATAAAGAAATCATACTAAGGAGCCCTAAACAGGTAGGTTGTTCAGGGTAAAGGTAGGTTCAGGGATGAGGAGAACAAGGACTAGAATCGACTTGGATCGAACGCTTCTTCGACCTAGTGAGGCCTTGAATTGTGACCCCACATTCGACGCCGGGAACCGAATATCCGTGCCTTATCATTAACCCTAGGCTTCCAGGGACCTTGTTATTGGGTCCTTAAGGGGTCTAGGGCCCTAATTATAAGGTCCTTGGAAGCATAGGGTAATAAATGCCTACTTGAAGCTTTGGTGGCGGATGTTCAGGTATGGTTGTGCAGGAATGTGACTATTGTTACTAACTATTCAGACCCCCCACGTTGGGACCTTATAAACCTCCCGCCCTATGTGGAGCTAATTTCAAAAGTGTGCGCGAGGTCTAGGTTAACTTCAAGCCCTAAACCCTGAGCCCCAACCAGCCAATCGCAAATCCCAAGCCCTAAGAGTCCTAAGCCCTAAAGCTATAAGCCTTTTGTCATATGTTTGAGGACCAGAAACTACAAAAAACACCTTGAAGCCTTAAATCCTGAACCCCGAACCCGAAACCATTGAGCGCTAGCTTTATAACCGATTAATTATCAACGGTAGTGAAGCAAAGTTCTGGGCTGGGCCCCGACTCGCTGTACTGCTTTCTCTTCTAACCTACAAACCTTCCCAGCCCAAAATGCAATACCGGGCACTAAACCCCGTAAACCATAAAGGCCCTAGAAAGCCCCCTACAAAAAGCCGTCAAGCCAAAGCCCTACATCAAACTACAACAGCTGAGCGCTCTCACGGGGGTGTAGCGAGCGCTGCGGATACCCCAAAGCACCTGACGCGACCATGTACCAGGTTCGCACGTACCTACTATAACTATACAGGTACGTTTGCCCGGAACCCTAAACCCCAAAACCTAATCGTAGGGAATGGGAGATTTGGAAACAAAAGAGGTCATCTAGAGGCCTGAGTGATAAGAATAGTTAAAAGGGCCATTATTACAGGTATTCCGACCCCCTACCCTGAACCAAGCAAAATGCACCCTAACGGTTTGAGGACTTCAAGCTGTTGGTCGGCCTTTGTCTGAGAGATCTTGTGCATAGACTTCAGGTGTAAGGGAATTATATAGAGGCCTTGATAACGTTCTTTGCATGAGTTTTACTATCGCATAATTACATATCATGACCGATGAGGAACCCTGAGGAATAATGTGAAGGCTTGCCTACGGCTGCCTTCTGATTCGCGGATTCGGTTTAGTCCCGCGTTACTCATATTGTTGGAACCATGTAATGGTGATGTAGCTTATCGAAAAAGAAAGGAATGACAATGCAGTGTCTAGGTGGAGCATCACAGCAAAATGGGCGGAAATATGCAGGATGCAGACAGCCCAGGGAGCTTAGGATCCGCAGATCAACATAAACAACCTGCAGTTGCTCGTATAGGCTTTTGGGTGGTATGGTGCATGAGTGTAATCAGGAACCTAATGAATGATATGGGTAATTGGTTAAGTTAACTTCTACAGTATACCGTCAGACCATCAACGGACGCAGCAACGTCACCACTGGACCACCCCAAGCATCATCTCACATCTGTTCCTTTAACAATCATGCAGCGGTAAGTTTACGCAAAAGACAGCCATCATCTTCCCCAACACCAGCGGAGTGTTACAAACATTGAACCCAACCTCTTTCCTCTTCCGGAACTTCTGACACTTCGCAAGCCCGTCAAGCCCAGGAAGCTTCTGAAGACCCGCCGAAAGCATGCGGCACAGGGTCTCGGGCCTAGGGTGTAGGGCTTCCCTAGACTATCTTGAAACATCCGGAATCCAGATGCCGGCCCCCCAAGCCGAGGTAAAAGTAACAAAAGGGTAATAGTAAATAAGAAGAACAAACCGCAGTATAGCACTGGCTAGAGAAATATCTCGGCGAATAGACTCTTATAAACGAACTCCCAAACCCTACACCCTGTTCCTAAGCCCCGTGATTCCCAATTCCCAAACCCCGAAAACTTTTACGCTGATTCCAAACCTTCACCCTATACACCACCAAACCCCAGAAGCCCTAACCGGAGAGCACCCAAACCCTAAGAACCCGCAGAACCTTGAATCCACACTCCTGAACTCTGAACCGCTAAACTAAACCCTGAAGGCTCAAGCTACACCCTACTAACACTGGGGCCTGAATGGTTCGAATAGGTTTGTGGTGTCAATTTGCTATATATATATATATATATATATATTATATATATATATATATATACAAAGGAACCCCAAATAGAGTATCGGCAACTTTTTAGGCCTGTATGTTAAACTCTAAACTTTACGGGATCCCGCATCTGCTAAGGCTCCGTCCGCTACATCCAGGGCATTCGACACGGCTTGCTGCACAAGTCCGCCTGAGGGGCTGGAGGGTGTCAAAAAAGACTCTTGGTTGAGGGTTTAGGGTTAGGGTTTACGGGTTCGAACAAGGTTAAGGGCCTGGGGCTACCTGAGTGGACAACATGATTTGTGGCATCCTTTCTTCCCCTAACACTCCACATAGCCCAAAGTAGGCACCATTGATGGACTTCAGACCCCAAAGAAGGTACCGTTCGTATACGTAGAGTCTTAGGGCTTTCGGGTTCTATGTGGCTTCTCAGGGTTCTGTGTAGGTGCTTACAAGGTTTGTACGAGACCACCTGAAAGGTTTGTGGGTTTCTACAGGGTGGTTGTTTATAAAGGTCTTATACTTAAAGGATCATGGGACTTAGTAGTTTGGGTTATAATTAGGGTAACTATACTTATATCCCCGAATAAGGTACTTATAACCTTACTTACTAAGTCCCATGATCCTCCATTTAGGGTTCTATACGAGTTTAGATAAGTCTGCCAAGATTCGTGTATAAGAGTTTGGGTTTAAGGTATCTAGGCTGTAAGGATTCTAGGCTTGCGGGCTTTGGGGGCTTCAGACGCTTTTAGGGCAGAGGGTTAAGAGGTGCTAGACGTTTATCCAAGGGTAAAAGGAGGGGCCCTTCATAAGGACCCCTAGGTATATACCCTTAATATAGCGATTATATACCCATTATATAGCCCATTATAGGGGGTAGGGGTCCCCACTAAGGGTCCCTCCGTCTCCCCTTTCAGCCTAGGATTCACGTTAACAGCTTCATGGCCTCGAGGCTTCTGTGGATGTGCCTTTTACTTGGAGGATCATGGGACTTAGTAAGTAAGGTTATAAGAACCGTAACTGGGGTTATAGGTCGTTATAAGGCGTAGTTACTGCAATCATAACCATAGTTACTAAGTCCCATGATCCTTTAAGTATGGGCCAAAAGAAGGACACAGCAGGGCATCTTGCAAGGACATGCCTACATGCCTACCTTGGTGGACTACTTAGCTGAGTTCATAAGCCCCAATAAGTGTAGACTTTTAGTTTTATAGTGGGTGACATTATCACAAAAAGTATGAAGTGTATCCACTCAGCTATTAAGGCTACATTATAAGGGATTTAGATGGGCTAACCCCATCCAATGTTTTGCTGATGTGCCCGTTTGGGGCCCGATGTTGTAGTAATAGGAAGCGCCAAATGCAGCGGTTCAGGGATGAAGCGAGTGAGGATAACTGTTGCGGGGGCTTGCTCTTGAATGTGCTCCAGAGCTTCGGTTGAAAATTTCAGGGTTCAGGGATTCTGCATTGGGTTCGCGGTGTGGTATTGTCCCTTGTTCGGAAACCTAATTGCTGTAGGCTCCTGCTGAAACAGGAGATATCAAGGATCAGGGTTTGGGATTTAGTGAGCGCAGAGATTAGCGTGGGCTGTTGCGTGAATTTCATACGTCGCTTGCTGGTGTAGGAGGACTCGGAGTGCCTTTCCTTCGGCGAAGGTGGGCTCTCCTCGCGAAAGTTCGCCATCTCCGCTGCCAATCAGACAGCTTGCGCAATGTCGTGCTCTGACCGGAACTTGTAGCGCAGGGTTTTGTTCTTGTGGTTGAGTAGGATCAATCCTCTGAGATCGCCCGGAGCCCGATTGATGCGGCACATGTACGTGCCCGTGGGTGGCTTCTGTGGCAGAGCGTCCACCGGAAGAGCTTCCAGTGTGTCATAGAACTCCATGTTGAGTTGACCATATCTGGGGCTCCTCTTTCGCCCTGCTGCACTCGGCGGATTCAGCATTGCTCAATACTTCTTGCCGTGCGATTGCTCTCAAATTTTGCACCCCAGAGGCCTACGAGCTACAAGCCCAAAGCCATGGATTCCCAAAGCCCCAAACACGAAGATCATCTAACTGAGAACCCCCCTGAGGCATGCAACTAAACGCCAAACACTAATATCCTAACCCAGGCCCCCGAAACCCGCGACACCGGGACGGGCGTTCTATGGCCCTGCGAACCAAAAGTCTATAGTGAGATTCCGAGTCCTTGGTTAAAGTGTTCTCCCCAAACTTCTCTCATTGACCAAATATACAAGGCCAGAATGTTGAATTAAAGTCCCCCCATTGGGTAAGTAAGTTCTCTAGTATGGAGGTGACCAGAATGTTGGTTACCGCGGCAATTCTGCAGAACCCGAAAAAACTGCGAACAGTACATATCAAACCCGCAACTTCCAACAAAAAAACCTCAAAACTCCGAACCCCTAACCCCGAAACCCCTAGACCCCAAACAGATAACCCCTTCAAAGCCCTCCGGAATCAAGGCCCTCGCTGGTATAGACCTGGAGACGTCGACCGGGTACGAGGTCGCGGTGGCTCTCTAAGCGACGAGAAGACAGCTGGTACCTCCAGCTTTGATGTATATAGGTCCCTCTACTCAACAAGTATGTATGTTGGGCCTGAAGTTATAGGACTGTATACTTTAAGACTACTTGAAGGCTAAAGTATGTACTTGCGAATACATGAACCCTTTAGGGTCTGGGGCTTGGGCTTGAGGGTTTAGCGTCTTCCGTCTAGGTGTTGGGGCTGCGGGGTCTTATGCCAGGCAGGTTCTTGCTCCAAGGTTGCTTGGTTTGGTTCAGCGGCCGGCCCCAAGCGCTGAAGCTAAACTAAACCTTCAACCCTTGAAAGCCTATCAACCTTAACCACCATGGTTTGGGTAAACCCTGAACCCTAAACCCTTATCAACCTTGAACCCAAACTTATGGTTTGGGTTTAGCTTTTTCTTGCTTTATGTCTTATGTCGTGACCATAAGAATTGGTTCAGCCACTGTGCCCCTAAGTTGAGGCGTGTATCTGGGTAGCTGAAAAAGGAGACAAGTGCCCAATAATTCTTTTAACGTTCAGGGTCTACCTACTTTGGAATCAGTAGGGTGGGAGATGCAGATTCAGTATCAAAAAAGGCATTTAGGGCTCTTCAAGGGTTGCTACAGAATCGGGCTTCCATCAGGCTTTCTGGAGTAGGGTTTATAGGAGTGCCCAGCACCCAGTAATCACGTACTTAGGTCTAGGACAGCGGCTTGTGGATCAGGGTTCTTGAGGGACTGCGCTTTGTGAGCACTTGGACCTTGTATGAAGGTAGAGTTTCTCACCCTACAAACCCGATACCAAACAACCTTCCAATCATTCAGCATCGAACCCCGCTTCACATTCAGAGTCATGCTTGAGAACGGACAACGAACCCCCAGGGGACCAAGGAACTGGACTGCGGCTTTTCTGAGATTTACGTGCAAAATCTTTAAACTGTATCGGAATAGCAACATCTTCAGACTTCGACCACTGTTTCAACACCCGCTGCGCATGCCAATAAGATCTAACAAAGAGTATAACTAAAGAAACTAGAAGCTGCAAGCAGCCTTCCATTCTCTAAGCCCCGAAACCTTAAACTCTTAACCCCGTATATACCCTAAACCCTAAAACCGGAAAGCCCTAATTCCCACCCTCCTCGAACACTTTACGGCAACCCCTTTATTAAAGCCACACTACGGAACCCGTTAATAAGGGATTCCTTTAAAGGAACCCCTCGAGGCAAACCAGGCGAGACACGTTCCAGTGCCCAGCTCCTTCCAGCCGCGCAGGCCACATCGGAAGTAGCCCGCCTCTGCTTGGGGTTGAGGGGTTCAGGGGCTCAAGGGTTTAGGGTTTAGGGCTTTCGGGCTTAGGGGTTCAAGGGTTTAGGGTTTCGGGATGTTTGGAATAGGGCTTATTGGCTCCATATTTGTTGACTTTTGCTATCAGAAGGCCAGAAAGGATGCTAAACCTTTAAACCCAAGCCCTAAACCCTAATGTAGCGGCCTTGACAAGCCCAGAACAGGACTTGGGGAATTATACAGCATGATTACGGGTAGTCCCCAAAAATAGTACGGCACCCAATAACGTCTGTGTCTTGGGCTCACAGTTCAGGGTTCAGGGGTTTAGAACGTAGGGTTCAACACCAAGTACTTAAACCCAAATAACCTACCTCTTTAGCATCTTTACTGTGATATAAGTCCCCGAAACGGTAGAGTCCAGGCAAGGTTTAGGGCTCGACGCCAATGAGGCGTAGGGCAGTGCAGGGACTAAGTTCGAGGTTTAGGGCTTTAGCGTGCAGGGGCCCTTATTTCGTGTAGACCCGTTAAAGGGAACCCCAATCACTCATTATTCCAGCCTTTTTGTTAACTATTTTCGGGTCTCAGAACGGAGGCGCCCTGCCTCAAAACACAGCACGTGCATCTCACAGATGCCCTGGCCGCAGAAGCTGAGGGTTGAACGTTTCGGTTTTACAGTTAGGGTTTAGGTTTAGGGCGTAAGGGTGTATTAGTTACTGTAGGCCATTGCTGTAAGGGTTCTCCGGAGTTTTAAGGGTTTCGATTTATGTATTGCTTAGTGGGGTCCAGGGCTTAGGGTTCAGGCTTTGCCTATGGTTTCCATTGTAATTCGCTCCTGTGTTTGGTGTGACCAAATGTGCTTTGTAGGATCCTAACCAAAAGATTCTCCCTAAACCCTACACCCCGAAACCCTAAACCGTCAAAAGATTGGTTCAACCAGAAAAGGAATTGCAATGGAGACTGCCAGGGTTTCGGGGTTAGGGCTAGGGGAGACTACCTGAAGCTACCAGACTTGGAGGATCATGGGGCTTAGTAAGTAAGGTTAGAAGAACCTTAATTGAGGTTATAAGTATAGTTACCCTACTTATAGTTACTAAGTCCCATGATCCTTTAAGTAACCTACTTCTTTGTAGGCTGCGATTATAAACCCTAGTATGGTATTTATAGGGGCCCTACAACAAGTAGGTTTTGGTAGGGTAAGGTATATGTAGGCTTTAGGCTTGCAGTGGAGCGCATGCGACAACTTGGGGGCCGACGGCGGAGGTTTTCGATAGGGTTTGGGCCTGGGTTTCGGGCATAGGGTTTCGGGTTAGCCCTAAACCCTTAAGCCTAAACCCCTGGAGGGTTTGAGAGATTAGGGCTACGGCCACCGCTACTGCTACTGCTGCTGCGACCACCACTACTACTCCTGCTACTATGACGACGAAACCGACGACGACCACCACCAGCACGACAGCGACGTGAATGCGATGTCGTCGTCGACGACTATTGGTAATATCATGATAAATATGAAGCAGCAGTCACGAATGCGGTTGTCAAAGCGAAGCACCCCTTCGGCCTGCGTGCCGTTCAGGACCTCCGAAGCAGCCGGGTGGCAAGCAGCGGGTCGCCAATTTAAACGGTTTCGGGTTTTAAGTTTAGGGATTTAGGGGTTTAGGGTTTAGCGTTTTTCCATCTAAAAGCTTTGGGGTTTGGGGGTTTAGGGTTTCATCAGGGCTTACGGCTTGGGGTTGAGGGTTGTTTTTGCTAAGATCCTTTTCCGTCCGCCTCAGAAGTCCCCGAACGGTAAACTGCGACGCAGTCGGTATAGCTTAGGGCTTCAGGGTCTATTGCGGTTTTGGGTTTCTGGCTGTTCGGGCTGAAGGTTCAAGGATGGGTCAGTGGCGCTTTCACCATACCCCCATCTATTTGCACCGAAGCCCTACTCCAACGCTTAAGTATCGTCTGCGTTACGTAAACCCTAAACCCTAAACCCCGAAGTACCATGTCCTCTTGCTCAGGCTACGACCCAACCCGAATCTGAGCCATGAGTTCTGAACCGCGTGAACTCCATAGCTACGAAAGGCTTTCGGTGAGGTCGGGCTCGGGGTTCAGGTTTAGAGTTACAGGTCTAAGGCTTAAGGTTTAAGGTCTATAGGGTTTGGGATTTAGGGTTGAGGGTTTAGCTTGGGTTTACAGTGTCACAGGCCCTATAAGCCGTTAAACCCTGCGGAAGTGATGGAAATGAAAAAGCCTTCTTAGACCAAGGCCGCAGCCACATTCCGAATTGGAAACGGAAACGGTTTAAACACACACGAATTTTGAGCACGAGGGGCAATGGCGATTATAAGTCATTCTACTGAGGACTTTCTTTGCTCTCACTACGCGACCATTACTGTGCAGAAGCCAAGTCCGAATACCCACTAAACCTCCCTTTCAAGGAACTCCTCGACATATCCTTAAACCCAACCCCTCAACCCTAGCCCTACAGCCTCAAATCCCATGCCCGAAAATCCCTAAGCCGTACAGCTCCAAAACTTAGACCCTAAAAACGCCTAAACCCGATACCCTCTATACCGGTATATATATATATATATATATACATGTATACATATGATAATTAAAAATACTACAAGATAATGATCTAATACGATATGATATAGTATGAAAAATACAATATACTACAATATAGTAAAAATATCATGTAATACAATATAGCATAACATCACATGATATCATTATCATATGAACAGAGCAGTAATGAATATAATATACTATAGACAATTTCATAAATAAATATATATATATATATATTCATTTATTTATTTCTTTCTTGACTGATTTATATTCGTATCCTGGAACCCGAAACCCTGCAGGAGAGACGAGCCTCAGCTGGCCAGGGGCTGATGACGGTGTTTGCCGACTGGTGGAACCGCAACACATTCACCTGCAGGTTTGGGAGTTTCCGAAAATCAGAGTAGGGTTCCTTTTTTGGGAGCTTCCGAAAATCAGAGTCGGGTTCCTTTGTTGGGAGTTTCCGAAAATTAGAGTGGGGTTCCTTTTTGGGAGTTTCGAAAATTAGGGTAGGGTTCCTTTTTCTGGGAATTTCCGAAAATCAGAGTAGGGTTCCTATTTTGGGAGTTTCCGAACATTAGAGCAGGGTTCCTTTTTGGGGAATT